TCGAAAACTATGGCCAACTCGTTGCTCGCTTCCCATTCAGGTTTCACTTGAGTGTTGGTCTGGAGCGCGGTGTCATTCAACCATCTTCTTAGCATGTGTCTTATTCATCTCCATTTCCTGCTACATATTTTGTTGGCAATACGTTCTTGCTTAGTTTTTTTTTTGATTTACAGCTTGATTCCACACTGTATTTTCGGTACAAGTATGGAATTTTCAGCATGGATATCGGTAGCCCAAAATTTGCAGGCCGACCATAGATATCAGGTGTGCGTCGGTGCGGGCTCGAACCTCGGACCATGTGCATGGTCAGCGAGAGCCCTAACCACTGTGCCACCGACGCATAGTCACAGTTCCCTGTTGCGCATACTTTCTAGCCGGTCATCTTACCTTCATAGTATGGAGCCAGTGAAGGCAACTGTTAAAGAGAAAGTCTGCAGTTACCTTTTGAAAATACTTTTTGTGACGCACGCGCGCGCGCGCCAAGTCTCTGAGCTATATGGAAGCACTACTGATTTGACAGTCGTATTGAAAATCTCAATCTTGCGCAGATTTCCACACTAATTTCAGATTAAATAGATGTCTGCCTTGCCTAATCGATACTGGTTGGCTTTGATATCGTTATCTGTGCCAAACGATGCTGCGCAGATAAGTGGAGGAAGGAATGTTGTTCCAACTTCTTGCACTAATAGTAACTGGTGCTTGTTATTGTTTACTGTTTATCTTTATCACCTCTGTCATCTCTATTTGCGATATCATATTTTGTTTTGATGGGTGAATAAAAACTGACACTTGTTGCTTAACCAGCTAACATGGCTCTGTTGACATGTTCCAAAGACGAATAATAACTGAAAGCCATCGCCAAAGAAGTGGCTTTAGTAGTCCTCGTGGATAGTACTTTGTGCATCGGTGGCACAGTGGTTAGAACTCTTGCCGACCATTCACATTCGATCGCCTGCCAACGCACACCTGATATCTATGATCGGCCTGCAAAATTTGGGTTACCGATATCACATGCTGAAAATTCCATAATTGTACCAAAAATACAGTGTGGAATCAAGCTGAAATCAAAAATTTAAAAAAAATAATAATAATTTGAACGTTGTGTTTGAGGCTCGAGTCTCGAAGGCTCAGAACACTACTAGTCATTTGGAATGCAAGTGTTACAGCCAGGATGAAATGCGCATCCCGGATTCCACTGGTCTGCTAGCCACTATCAAACAGTTAATATTACTATCCACATAGGTATTTCATTTCAAAATATCATTTTTAGACACTAGAATTGCCAGCGTTAATGAAAATCTCGCTTACTTATTGGATAAGAATCGAAATACCTGGACATATAATTCCAAATTTTGATTTATTTGTTTTTTACAGTTTAAGTCACGTAGAACTAAATGAACTCATTTTTCCTTACCTGTTAGTAAGATGAATGTCATATTTGGCCTCATCTAATCCCAGTTTATAAATTGTTTGTAAACATTCGTCATTATATCTAGATCGTAAGCTGATCTTGTAATAACTTACATATTCAGACTACCCGACGTTTTTGTTTATTTCTGTGTAGTATTCATGATATTTGCTCTCACATATCAATGAATACAACTAATCACCACTTAAAATGGCATACTTTTGTTAATCATAAATACACAAGCTAGTCGCATAGTTGTTATTTTATGCTCTTGACAACTATATATTTTTCAAGTATTGGTTGTGTAGGCATTTAGTTTGATTGGATGGAGGATTTCATCATGAGCTGACATCAGTTAGAGAACCACTGGAAAACCTGGGAGTACTGCACAGCTGTTTCGTCAGCCTAGTTTGGGACTCTTCATCAGTACACACCCAGCGGGGTTCAGACCCAGGACCTTCTGGTTACAAGGCTGGCGAGCTCGTCGACCATTGAGCCACTAACATGTGTTGGGCATTTTAGGATTTATAGTTTACCGCATAGACCAGACTGTTTATTTCTGCTGATTATGAGACTAGTCATTTGAATATTTTGCATATTAATTCTGAACCAAGCATGCGTTATATGAAATGCAAGAATATTTAGTCCATCTGACTGTTGTATATTGTCATGAGTTATCCTCATTATTTAAGGATGAATACTACTAGTGCCACCTGGCCAGGTTGAAATTTGTAGGATGGAATTCTAACCTGAGAACCCCTCTGGCTGTAAGTCGAATGCTTGCTTGTGAATGAAATTCATCTCCACTACTGTCGCCTCTCGTTTAACCCAAATATAAATTTTGAATGTTGAATCATAAAATCAGTTTTACATCTGTAAATCAATAGAAATTTTTATAAAGTGGCTAGCGGTAGAAGCTATAATGCAAGTTTCGTCTTTATTGTGAGACTCGTCATCTGAGAGTGTACCAGTTCCTATTTCAGCAGTAGTAGTGTTCCTAATGAGACTGGAATCTTGCACCGATTGCTTTAAATTCAGTTAAGATATTTCATTGGGAAATATGGATAAATAATTTGGGATTTAAATGGTTACATTCAACTAGCCAACCATCTAACGTCTATTCTACTTTAAATACATACTTCTTGTTTACAGGATTTCATCATGAGCTGACATTGGTTAGAGAAGCACTGGAAAATCTGGGACAGCTGTTTCGTCCTGGTTTGGGACCCTACAGCAGTACGCACTCACCGGGATTCGGACCCAGGACCCTCTGGTCACAAGGCGAGATCGTATACCATTAAGCCACTGGGACCCGATCCAATGGTCCTTGAATTCTAACTTCTGCCAATTCACGACATAGCGCGACCCCTAGCCAATGTCTTCGGCGAGTGTTTGTCCTCACACCCGACCTGGTGCGCCTTACTGGTCACGACTTCTCACTAGAAACCCAGGTAACTACCTACCTGAATAGGGCCAGTCGCTAGTGAGCATCTCATTGATATTCAAGTGTTGGTTTGTAGGCATTTGGTTGATTGGTTACAGGATTTCATCATGAGCTGATATTGGTTAGAGAACCATTGGAAAACCTGGGAGTACTGGACATATTCCTTGTCTAGGCTATGATGTTCTGCATTTGATACGCATTTGAAAGCTGAATAATATTATTTATTAATCATATCAATCAGTTATATACACTGGGTATTCAGAGTCTTCCTCATTGCTGCCTCACCTCATTATCACTATTAGTATTACTACTATTGTTATTTTTCTTTTTCCACACCTTATTGTATACACCCACACACACACACACACACAGGCACACTTGCGTGCGTGGGTTTATTTAGTTATCAGGCCTAACAGATATATGCACCTATTACTACCAACTGAAGTTCAGTGACCTATAAACTTTAAACCTGTCTGATAATTTGTTTTATCTTTTCATTTTTGACACAGATAATTTATATTATAATATTTGCTTCTTTGTATCATGCACACATTATGTTAACTATGGCTAGCCTAAATTTCATCTGAAGTAATAGCATTATTATTTTGGTTAATAGTGACTAGCAATGGAATCTAAAATGCTCATTTTGTTCAATTTGGGACTGATCATCGGCTGGAAGTACCTGCACACCCTGCCCAGTAAGTGAAGTGATGGTGTTTGCTCACATAGACTCAAACTCAGAGCCCATCGTTTCAAACGTGACTCTCGTGGCCTATTCGATGATGCGTTTGGTGTCTAAAACGATGAGTTCGAGTCCCGGTGGGGGGAACACCATCACTCAATGGGGCATTGCTGATATGTCCAGTGGACAAGTCCTGGATGGAACGAAATGTACATCTCGAATTCTGATGCTAGTCACCACCAGGCGAACCATCTTCGTATCAGTACTAAGACATAGTCGAAGCCTCTGTATTAGGAGCTGATAGGTCAAACAGAGAGTAAGCGTTTAGGTCCAGTATCATCAACCAGCTGGGGAAGAAAAGAAGAATATGATTGTTGCTTTAATTCTGTGTAAACTCTTTCTGTGATTTTAAATCATAACTTTCTCAGACATCTTACTTATCGATACAAATGCGAAGATAAATGTATACATGAGGAATATTCGCAGTATGATACGATATAATATTTCTAGGATATTCATCTGATCCTTCATTACTATCAACTTGAGTCATAGTTCACAGGTGTGTATCCGTTCAAGTCACTACAGTTCATGGCGGTAATAATAATAATAATAGTAATTTAACTCAGCAACCACTTGTTGGTTTATGCGATCATTATTGTATCATACCTGTTGTATGAGGCCTACTGATAACAAAAGTCTCATCAGACTTTGGATGGTAAAGGTGTTTGAAATTTCGGCCTCACTCGATAGCTGCTGCCTTGACTTGGTGGTTGGACTTGGATATCATAATTACTTGATGAGCTACGCTGGACTAAAGTAATATTCCTGCAGGTTCTACTATACCAGACTAAAAGCAGTTGCGCCTTCATAATGTAAGCCATTTATACTACGTTGAGTGGGTCTGTGGGCAAAGTCGTACTGCTTGTTAGTAGAGGTGTAAAAGAAGTGAGGCGTTTCCTTCAGGTGACTATCACGTCTGTCATGCTGTCTCTTCATTATGTGAAGTGCAATACTGAGGGTGTTAGTAAAGCTCAACAGCGAAAATCGCACATCTCGACTTATCTTGAAGCGGTTTGGATTAGTGGAACGTCGGACAGGGTCCCAGTGGCTGAGGGGTCTACGAGCTCGCCTTGTAACCAGAAGGTCCTGGGTTCGAAAGTCGATGGGTGCTTACCGATTGCGAGACAGCTGTCCAATAATCCCAGGTTTTCCAATGGTTCACTGACTGACGTCGGCTCGTGTTCGAACCAGATAAGTAATATCGTTGGCTTTCAGGTGATCATCAATACTTGTAGCCTACTACATGGAACTACACTCACTTGCAGAATTATATCAGTAAACAGGAATCACACTCACTGATAATACTCTCTTTTAGAATTTGAAGTATATCCCATTGAACGATAAACTGTGTTATGCAAATTGGTATTTTCTCATGTTTCCCTGTTTTTTTCTACATTTATTTATAGGGTTTCTTTCGTCGAAGTATTCAAAAGCAAATCGAGTATAAGTGTTTAAGAGATGGAAAGTGTCTTGTGATACGCCTAAATCGTAACCGTTGTCAGTATTGTCGTTTCCGTAAGTGTCTTGCTGCCGGTATGTCTAAAGACAGTGTACGTTATGGTCGAATGCCAAGACGAGCACGTGGTCCTGATTGTGGTAGAGATGGTCCCGAGGCTAGTATGGTAATGCAGCAGCATAATTCTGTCCCAAACTCTATGCGAATCGATGCAACAGGTGGAAATGGTGTTGTAGTTGGGGGACATGCTTCAGCGTTTATTCCCCCGCCTTCAGGTAGTTCTGAAATGCCAAATAATTCAGTGCCATCAACTACTGGTCGTTATGGAATTTGTAGTCGACCTACAAATGATCATCTTGGGCTATATGAGACTATACTTACAATAAGTCAAGCTTATCAAAACTTCTCTCCGTATACTGATGAAAAGATTAAATTGATGAGATGCAGACCGATTACTCTGGTAAGCATATTTTTAACATGTCTGTATACGTTTGTGTTTTTCAGATCTTTAACTCTCTGTTACTGGTTAGCTAGTTTTTAGGCAAAAAGTCAAATACCCAGGAAACTCCTTTCCTACTGAGATCTCGGTGGCTAGATCGATTCAATCTTCAGGTGTTACTCAACACTTCGTACATGAGTATATACAAAGGTGTTAGTAGTTTTACACTACTTCTGACTAGTTCACAATTGTTATCAATTCATGTTTTGAGTGATAAGTTTAACTAGAAGATATATCACAAAATTATTCCGACACGCTTTTCAGTTATTATGGCTAACGAGAGAAAATTCTGTCTGTCTGTCTGTTTTTGACATAGAACTTTGCACCGATGTGCAGCACTTCAAGTCGCCACACTCTCTCCATGTAGCACACAAAGCAAGAGAAGAAAGTAGAAGAAATACAAAATAGACACAGTAAACAGGGATATGAGACAAAAGGAATAGTAATAACGAAGAACAATATAGTTCCATTGGAAATTATAAGTCATCTGCGCTAGCCATTGAGAACGATTTTGAGGCATATCACCAAATGTCTGCAGCTGTCATTGGTGTTTACTGTCCCGAGGACCCCAGCCAGACAGAAGTCTACACCTTCCTATGTGGCTGGCTGGCTTAAACTAACTGTTGTGGATTTCATTGACTGGTGAAGCCATGTTTTGGTTTTAAAGAGAGGAAAGACTACAGATCTTTTATTTCTAAGCTACCGGTACCATATGTTCTACCTGTTCTCAACTCTTATTAACACATTTTTGTCCACAGCATCAGACAACACACTGCGTGTGTGTGTGTGTGTGTTCATGATCATAGATGTACACTAACAACCATCTCCCTTCAGTTTGAACGCTTGTATAGTCTTCATTTCTTATGCATTCATTTCTGCCATTTTAGCTTTTTTCTTCCCTAAAGGCAAACTTCTTTGTGTCCTCAAGGATTTTATTTCGCATACTTTCGTTATCCTATACTCTAATATTAATTTCAAAATGACTAATAAATTAAAGGTGACACAAAGAATTTCAGTGTTTCAACTGTATGTATGTACGTGAGATGGTGTAGTTGTCTTTTATTGCCGAATTTATCTTTTGAAAACTCAGCTTTTGTTGGATTGAATGCTATTATCGAATAAAAGTGCCTACTGAAGGTAGACAAAACTTTAGTATATCCAGTCTAATTTTTTTCATTATTGCTTCAATAAGACAATAATGCGTCGGTAGTATAGCGTTTAGAACGCTTGCCGACCATGCACATGGTCTGGGGCTCGATCCCTGGCCACAGACGCACTCCTTTACCTCTTTGAGCCAGAAATAATGCTGGTAAAGAGGGAAGGTTGGGCATGAAGCTAGCAACCCCATTCTGTAAAAATAAAAACGCTGCTACAGAAACTTCAGCCGACTAGCTTGAAGCCCTATGTTCCACTGAGAACGTGAAGGAAAAAAGGCCATAATACCAAATCTGTATGCAGCTTTGGCTGTGTTTTACTGCTTTGTGTCTTCACTCTGAAAAATTCAGTTTAGAATAGGAAGGTTTCCATAATGACCCATGCTCTGTAGTAGTTTGTCAACAGCTTAGCTACCATTTAAAATTAGCATTATATTACTTATCCTTTTAGTTCCTAGTGTTGTGCATCCCTATTTCACTCCATTCTTTGCAGCTTCTTTAGCATAGGCATTCATTTCTTTATCAAGCGATCTCCTCCATGTTACCTGTAGAGACGGGCTCAACTCGTCATTTCCCATTTGAGTTCTGCCTGACTAGTGTGCAATGTCACTGAATGGTCTCCTCACTTTATGTCCAATCATTCTCCTTTTCCTTCTAACTGGCTATCTGATCTTAAAAATATACACACAGTCATCGAAGGCAGTTGTCGATAAAAGTCTGCAGTTGACTGTTGGAAATGCTTTTTGTGACACACACACACACACTGATTTGATATGAATTTTGGATGTTCTTTCTTATACCAACTGCAGCAGATGTCCATGCTGATTTCAAAGTAGTGAAAGTCTATCTTACTTTCTCACTCTCTCTCTCTCTCTCTCAATCTCTTTTACTCTCCTGCCTTCAACCTCCTCATCTGTTCAGCCAGTAGTTGAAACAATGTTGCCTGGATTAGTGAAAGAGGCTACTTATTTTAGATTTCTCCCCGTTGATAGTGATTAGTGCTTGTTGTTAGTTGTTAGGTATCTTCACCACCCGTGTCTTCTTTATATCGCTAGTCTCTTCTGTCAACATGTTAGTTTTCTTCTGTGTATTATTATTATTAAAAAGACAAGTGTATCTTTTCTGTAATACATACAAAAATATGGGAATTAGATTCAATGCATTGTACATTTCACTACTGATTACTACAAGATCTGTTCTTAAACTTGATTTATCTGTCGATAGATAATGCTCACTTCACTTTTTTTTCCTAATAGTTGTTGTAACTTATTATTATTCCCTTGGGTTCCTAGTGGAACATGCGGCTTCAACTGCACGTCTCCACTTGCCACTTCTGTCTTCCTTCTGCTGTACTTTTCACCTGCATCCATGTTAGTCCATACTGACTGTTTCAACTCCTCTCTCTTCACACGATCTCCTCACCCTTGTCACCCTTGCACTGACGTCCCACTCGCCACGTGCTTCCATTTCGGCCTGGTTCCATTCGACAAATGGCCTGACACGCGCGCGATGACACCCAGCGGCCTCTTCAGCGAGCGAGTGTCCAATCCATCCCCACTTTCTCCTGCATATTTGTTGGTTGGCGATTGGTTCTTGTTTTGTTTGTTTGTTCCCACCCATAGTTTCTTGTTGTTGGTGATTCTTTCCGACCCGGCCATCTGATCTTCAGTATACACCCAGTAAAGACAGTTGTTGGTTGATAAAGGTCTGCAACAGGCTGTTGGAACTATTCTTTGTGACCCGCCCGCCCGCCAAGTTTCTGATCTGTATAGAAGAGCTGACTGACTTGACGTGTTTGAATTGAAAATCCTACTGAATTTTGTTGTTGATGCTGGCTGAGTGACAAAGATTGGTTTCAGGTTGATGAATGTGTGCGTTTCTTGCCTTCCCAACTCTCGCTCAATTTGACATCCTTGTCCGTTCCGACTTCCTGTAGTTGAGAGAATGCTCCCTAGATAAGTGGTGAATGAAGTAACCTCCTTCAAATCCCTCCCGTTGATGGTGATTGGGGCTGGATGTTGCTGCTGTTGTTGTTGTTGGTTAGTTATTTTCATAACCTCCGTCTTGTCTATGTTCACTTGGAGTCCTGTCTTCGCCGGCTGCTTCTTCGACCAGTTTGTCGGTTTTCGCTTGTAAGTCTTCGAGTTTGTGTGACATCAAGCATAAATCATCCACGCGGGAAATCCACGTCTTCTAGGTTCTTCACGTCGGTCCAGGATAGATATCCCTGTCTTCTCGTTTCCCACTCACTGTCTGACGCATAATCCAGTCAGTCCATCACAATTAGGAATATCATTCATTGGTGATAGTAAGCACCCTTGCCTGAATCCTGTGTTTGCTCCAAAGGCCTCGCTGAGTGGGTTTTCCGTTGTGGATCACTTGACATGTGCCGTTGTTGTACAGCTGTTGTTGAATAAGGTTGTTGAATGTTGTAACTTAACTATATGAAAATAAATATACATAGGAAGAACATCTCTTTTCTGAATGAATGAATGAATGACTGGTTGAATTAAAGAACTCAGCTTGTTGGTATTCAGCTACCAGTATTTCGTTTGAATTGTTCTATCTCATTTCTCTTATATTAACAGTTTTCATTCTCTGTTTCAACAGAGTTCATTAAACAGGGTATTAAATTTTTCATGTTTTCTGTTCCTCTTTTTGTATAAGTCCCCCTGATGTGAACTGAGGAGTGTTTATTTTAATTTATATGCACCAGTGTTTTCATTTTTAAGATTTCCAGGTTGCAATTAAAAAAAAAGATGACTATGGATCCTTATCATTATTTTGCTATCATTATTCACTTGTTTACCAACAGAGAGTATCAATAGGTTTTCTCAAGCCTTATAGTTGATTACCTTAATAGTACTTAAAACCAATAACGACCAGCACTATCACTATAACAAAAACAGCAATAACAACGGGAGATGATATATGCTTAATGTATCTCTTTATTTTCATGTTAGTTTTTGTGGTAACTTAAAAAAAAGCCATTGATACTGTGGTGGAATATATTTCTCCGTCTTTTGTCTATTCTTTGAGCATATGAGTTTGTGTTTGGTTGGGCTCTCTCATGTTATATATCTATAGGGTGTTAAGTAACTAAAGAGTGGATGAAACAACAAAAAAGAAAAGAACTGAACACTCTTCGTTGTACTTCTTCTCTATGTTTGTTTTTCCGTTCAGTTTTTCTCTTCTATGCTTGAGTTTTTGTCTGTTTTACATGCGCATGATACTGGGCTTTTTTTTTCTTGTGATTAGTTTAACAGCGAATACATATGCAGTCTAACAGTTATTTACGAATTCTGATATTAAATGCTGAGTGATATCTGATATGTAAGGGCTGCAATACTGAGCGACATTTAGTCTCCTGTTTCACTGATTGTTTAATCCAACAGGGCACAAAATACGATTCGGTGGGTGAAGGCATTGTGTTTTAAAAAACAGTATGGATAAGATTTGTCTGGGAAAAGTTCGCATACTGCAGCCTATCATGACACCTTTGAGGTATGTATCGTACATCATATCCTCCCCCCCCCACCTGAAATGTGTTAATATGACAGGGGATAGATCTAGACTTAGAGGGTTCTAACCCTAACTATTCTTGATATTTGATGGTCTTAACTCCTTATTATAAACTATTCCTGAAAGATAACTATCAGTCTCTTCTTTAGTCATATAGATATTTATGCCAGAATTTTAATGTGTATTAATGATTCAACCAGGCTTACTAATTGGCACCAAGTAGCTCCAACATGATCTTCATATGTGAGTTAGTTGTATTTAACTGGGGTTCAATTAATCATACTA